CGGGCACCCCGCCCACGCGCTTCTTCACCGAGAAGAAGATTGCGCACGAGTGTCTGGTCATCGGGGCCCTGGAGAGCGCCTTCAAGGAGATGGTAGGTGGGGCCGGAGGGTCACCTAGGCCGAACCCTTGCTGCTTGCAGGCTCCCCCTAGGGCGCGGGCGCTGGTTGCGGGTTCTCCGCGACGTCTCCCTTTTAGAACAGGGCTTCCGTTCTCAGTAGTAGGTTTGGCAGCCAGATAGAGTTCCTGGCAGCGCGTGCTGGCCAAAATGGAAAAGGAAGATGAAAGCGAGAGAGGGTGCGTGAGGCAGTAGGCTTATTAAATAAATGCACGGGTTATTGCTTCTTTGGGGCAGGCTCAGATTGGTGCCAGCTGGTACAATTCCACTTAATGGAAATGAGCATGGCTGCCATCTGTTCTATACATGCGGATGGGTTCCAGGTGTTTGGGGAAACACAGCTTTTAGTCAAGTGCTCAGAAGGACCCCATTTATACAGCTCTGATCTGAGAACAGCTAGTTTATGGTGATTGGCGATGTGGCTCTCTCATTGCTTTACAAAAGCATGGGCGAGGTCCAAGAATCATTTGTTTTGCTTGGGGAACATGGACTTGCTTGTGCATTTAAGTCTGAGCGTGCCTGGTCAGCTGATTCAGCCTGCTCCCCACCAGCCTCACCCCTAGAGCACACTCGGGCACAGCGCAGCTGCTCCGGGGCCCTGCTGTCCCTGCGCCTGGTGGCATGCACATAGAAGGTGGCCCCGCTCCGTTCCCTACCCCCTTCCCTCTCAGATCACTTTCCACGCAGGCAGTGATTTGGGTTCCAAAGGTTTTCTCTCCTGAGCCAGCAGCAACCTGCATGCAGACAAAGAGGAAGAGATATGGAAAAGTAGTATAAGAACTTGAATAGGATGCGTGGGTGGTAATGTCCTGAAAACCTAGAGATTCAAAATGACAACAAGCTTTTAAGTAAAGCGAGAGCAGCTAGGAACATCCCCCCAGAATTGCGTGTAGACGCCCTGCACATTTCAGGATCTCCCGACCTCAGGTCATGTGCTAATGGCAGGAAGAAAGTAAATAGTATTACACAGCATCATCTAATTTGCTTAGAAGGCAAAAATAGTTCATATATTTGCACCTCAAACATGCACCCTTTACTCACTCTAACTCCTTTTTCTTTGGTCCCAGTGTGTCCCTCCTGTCACACAGATAATATTTACCCTTCCAGTAGCAGGTGGTTTAAAATGCACCTCTGTCTCAGTAGTGTCTGGTAGTCTTCAATGCCAAGAAAACCATCAGAGCCTGGAAAAGATTACTTAGGGCAAAAGGAATCAAGGTAGTAAAATAGACTCCTCCTGAGGCTCAGTATCTGTCAGCTCTCACTCTCCAGCCAGCCGTCATGAAGCTCTGGTCTGATTAAGTGTTCAGAATGCTAGTATTTAATTGAGGTAAAATTTGACAATGGGCTTAGAGCCCTATTGGGAGAAAAGTGTAAAACAGAAGAAACTTTGGGTTTTTCAGTCTGTAATTGCTTTTGCCTTGACCTTTTTTTTTCTTTTACTTGGAACTCCTGGATTCTCAGTTTTATTCACCAGAGGCCAATGTCACTGCGAGTCAGGCCTCTACAGGGTCTCAGGCCTTTTCTTCCCGTTACTGGCTCAGGGTTACCAGCAACAACTCTACTTGAAAAGAGAGGCCCATTCGGAAAAATACTTCGTAAACAGCCTTATTCTTGTCTTTTATATTTTTTCAGCTTTTAGCTAGGCAGTTCATTACCTGAAAATTTTCTTGGAAACTTAATTACTTATTACTTATTGTATTATTTTCCATATGAAGAACTGTAAACATACTTTTGCCCATCCCTGTATTTGTTGAGAACTATGTGCCAGGCCTAATTAGGAAAAGAGCATTAGATAAATTGGGCAAAGCCAGGTATTAAACACGCAAGATATAGACCGGTAGGTCCTTGAGAGGAGAGATGCCAGGTGAGGTAGGAGTCTGATGAAATCAAGCAAAGGGTTCCCTGGAGAAGTGATGCTTGTGG